AAGCTCTGCTATTCTTTCAAGACCCAAGAAGAAGCGTTAGACCCCTGGGCGGGGCTTTCATTTTGAGAAGCGGGCAGCCAGCACGCTGCGATCGGACTCTCCACCCTCTGCTGGGCAGGGTGGTCCAGAGGCTGTCTCGGCTGCATCCTGCATCCCGTCCCCGGTGGGCAGGATTTCTGGTGCCCAAGTGTCTGTCGTCATGGGAATTAATATCATGATGCCTGTAGGGTCGCTGGGGAGGAGGGAGCAGCCATTGGAGACTCAGTCTGGACTTCTCCCCAAACCTCCAAAGAAAGGACCTTGGCCGGGGGTGGAGGGGTGACATCTGTGTGAATCCACTTGCAAATGGCTATAATCACTATAAGAATTCAAGTTACTGTTTGTAGAGAGCTTAGCACAGTGTTGGACTGTAGTAAACACTGCCCCACTGCTTGTTAAATAAATAAACATAAACAGGGAAATCTATATTGTGCCAAAGATGGGACAGTGTGGGGGGTTAAGAGTGGAGAAATAAAGTAGGAGGAGACGTGAGGAAGATGGAGCAGAAATGGGCCTGAGTGCCTGGATGGAGCCAGCAGAACAGAGATGAGTCATGCCAACTGACTCAGGCCAGAAAGGCTTCCAGGAGGAGGTGATGGGCTGGGTTCTAACTTACCCTGGGCATGTTTTTAGAGTTCCTAGGAATTCTCAGAAGGCGGGCCTTGGGTTAACAAAACACATAAATCATCTGAAAACCCTCTGATGGAAACAACACCTGTGGATGCTGTGGGGGTGGGGGATGTCCCCCAGACAGAACTTCATGCTTGGGCTACTTTCCAGAGCTCTGGGCTGGCAGTCTCCACGCCCAAGGAGTCTCCCATCCAGCTGCAGCTTGCCAGCTTCTGCTCAGAGCTCTGCTATCATTCGAAGGAAGGAAATGACAGGGGGCCAGTCTCCCACCCACCGTATCTCAGTTATAAATTCTCCAGGCACATCTTCCCTGGGGATAATTACTGAGTCGCTTTTAGCATGTTAGGTCATATACCTGTGGGGTGTTCGTTTCTTTCCTACAGGGACTGCCCACCAGATACTCGAAGGGGGCTCAGAGCCAGCGGGGGATGGGTGGCCATTGGCGCTCACAATAGCCCTGAGTCATGAGCCGCTCACTTCTTCCGCACTCCTCTCCCCACCCAGGCTGCCCGTGAGTCAACGGCGTTTATTTAGCACCTCTGAGTGCAGAGATCTGTCCTGGGGAGAAGGCTGCCCCATGCAGGGGTGGCCAGAACGAGGGACAGAGCAGCCTGGTGTGTCCTGGGCTGTGCCGGCCCCTCCACCAACTGAGAGCAGCCCTGGGGGGGGGGCATCTCTGTATTTTGTAAAAACAAATCATAACTCCCACCTCGTGTATCTCTAATAAAAAGCCAAGTACCTCTCCAGGCCTCCATTCCCATCAGAGAAATGGGGGTGGTAAGATCAGCCTCCTGGGTCTTCCTTGCAGCCTGGGAACAGGGTTCTCAACAGGGAGGGGTTTTGCCCCCAGGGGACACCTAACAATGTCTGGTGATGTGCTTGGTTGTCACACTGGGAGGGAGATGGTGCTACTGGCATCTAGTGGGAGGAAGTCAGGGATGCTGCTGAGCATCTCACAGGGCACAGGATGGGCACAGGACAAATTACGATCCAGCGCCAGATGTCGACAGAGCCAAGGTGAGAAGCCCCGCCGGAGAGCGCCATATCAGAGAGACCCTTGCGGGAATAATCTCTGCCCCGGGCTCACTATGGCCTTATTCTGCTCGCTGTGTAAAGCCTGCTCTCCTGGTGAGGCTCAGACTGGTGCCACTAAGCAGGAACAGTGCGAGACGTTCTTTCTTTCGTGCACAATGCCAAGGAGATGAAACTGACGTTGCAAAGAAAACACCACTGGAAAGGGCCCCCTCCTGAGCCACTTACAAAGGAGGCATTCACCCGGGAGCATGCTTGGCCTCCTCTCCTGCGCCCCTTGTCACCCTGTGCTTGCACTCCTGGTGACTATTAAAATGTCAGCAGAGACGAAAGTGCCTAATGCTGGGTGACATCGCAATGACACGAAAAGGCAACACGGTGGCAGAAAAGGGTGAGCCGTGAGGCCCAGAACTTCCCATAATAAAGGGTACCACTTAAACTAATGAGACCGATTTTTACTAATTCATGAGCGGGGAATTAATCCTTCTGGTGAAATCAGTCCCTTTGGATATTTAATGGTGAGAATCACTGAGTCAAAAAGAAGAAAATACAAAAGTAATGCAACAGTTTATCTAGAGGATCTGTTTATAAGCAGTTAGCGATTCAGAGTAGAGACGGAATCCCAACATGATGGCCCGTGAGACAGTGTAAGGCAGGGAACCCAGGAGATGAAATCATCACCAGAACAAAAGGGACCCTTTAAAGTCCTTCTAACTTAAGAGATATCTCAACTAGAAGCGTCCCATTCCTCCTTCCTGATTTGGTGGGAATGTTTTTACTACTTGTTTGTCCCTGGAATCCCAAGACCCAGGAACCACCCCCCACCCCCGGCCCAGGCCATAAGTGGCCCGGGGATGGAATTGATCTCAGCTAGCCCATCCTTGCACCTGCTCTGTGCAGAGGCCACCCTGCATTTCCCCTCCCCTTGATGAAGCATTTCTACACCGTCCACCTCAGAAGCTTAGGGGAGGGGGCGAGAGGAAGCAGATGCAGGGAGCAGGGCAAAGCAAGGAACTCAACTGTATGTGGCAAAGAAAGTGATGCTTTACAAGCAAGCAGATGTCTTGAACCTGGCTAAGGCATGAATCACAGAAACAAGTGCAGAAACACAGCTTTGGGGGCAAGGCCAGAGGGGGCGCTGTCTCCGGAGGAGTGGGGAGCTGCCAAGCCTCAAAGACTGTCCCCCACCCTGCAGCCCCCAGAAGGTCTCAGGCACAAAGCCCCCAGGCCTCCCGGGGTCAGCAGTCAAGTGTCACCCCCCAAACGTTTGGAAATGCCAATGTACCCAGAATTGAGGAATTACATTTTTCCTATTTTCTTCATAAATTATATCTCGTAGGCTTCGGCAAGGCCCTTTGCCACTTGAAAATAAATTTAGAAAGATGGTACATTAGGGTTACACAATCTTGGTTGTTTACCAACACGGATAAGAGAATGAAGTTACATAATCTTCTGTGTGTGTGTGTGTGTGTGTGTGTGTGTGTGTCTGTGTGTCTGTGTGTCTGTGTGTCTGTGTGTGTGTCTGTGTCATTCTTCCCAGCCCTGAAAACTTGAACTTTTAAGAGCAAGGTCTCCCTGGCGTGGCAGAAACTGTGGAGGACTGTTTCCGGCCTTCGGCAGCCTAGCGCACTTCTCCAAACCTACTCTAGCTGTCCAAGGTGCAGACAAAGAGTCCTTTAGGGCCACTCAGCTCCCATTGGCAAGGCCAGCCCAAGGATGGAGTAACCTTCTTGCATTTCTCCAAGTTCAGGAAATTCATGAACTTGAGTCTAAATGGGAGAGGGAAGAAGGTCATGACAATGACAAGAGGATATTTTGTAGTAACAGTGGTGGCCACTGCCCAGCCGCCCCTGTGCCCGGCACTGAGCTGCAGCTTCACACACGCTAGATGCTCACGGGAGAAGGCGGAGTCGCTGTGAGCCTTAAGGAGCCTCGTCCAGGGCCACAGGGCTGGAAAGTGCCGGAACGGGAACCCAACCCCATCCCGTCTCCCCCACCCCATCCTGTCTGATCCCAGAATGCATTCTTGGAACCACAGCAGGCTGATGACATCATGGCCTTAGAAGGCAGCTTTAGAATCATTCTTTAGAATCATTTCTGTAGGCCCTGAATGTTCCTCAGTGGCCATTTGACAAGTAATTATTGAGTATCAACTGTATGAATCCACTGTAAAATGAGGTGGAGTAAAGAAAGTGCTGTCATCAAGGTACAGGCAGGTTCTTGGGCCTCAGTGATTGGGTGAGGGGCAGTCCAGGATGACTTCTTGGAGGAGGTGGCATTTGGCACACACACCTTGAGGAACTAACGGCATGCAGAAAGGCAGAAAAACGGGAGACTTCATTCCCACTGGGCAGGGCTGCTAGCGTGGCCCCCGAGGGCTAAACCTCAGCATGGTTGCCCCCAGAGACCTGCGTCCCCCTCCTGCAGGGATGGAGGATTAAAAATGTCCTGAGGAGTGCCAACTGTGTGCCCGAGCCCTGCTAGTCCTGGGATGAGACCATCCAAGTCACTGTCCCTCCCTCAGGGAAGCAGCAGAGCATCATGAAGGAGTGCAGGCGACACTGCACGTGCTCCCCCGGCCCACACTTCCTTGGCCTCCGAAGTCCCCAGCCCCCTCTGCAAAAGGAGGACCAGGGTGTGGGGTTAAATGAGATGTACTGTGTCCCAGACTCTTCTCGTGCCTGGGCACAGAGTACTAAACATTCCATAAGTGGGGGCTGCGGGCAACCTTAGGGGGCTCCGGGGAGCTGGACAGGGCGGGCATGCAGAAAGCAGGGGAGGCTCCCCCGAGGAGGTGAGAGCTGAGTGACAGCCGGCCGGAGTCAGCCAGCGGGTGGAGCGGGAAGGGGCAGGGAGAGCATTCCTGACTTCTATCTCAGAAGCGTGTCTCCCCTGCAAGGTGACCCGCAACTGAACTGTAAGGTAGGGGCGACTGGACCTTTCCTCCCTGACATGAAAATCGGGCCACCAAGGGGCGCTTTCCCCGGATAAAAATAAAACTTGGAGGGGCCCGCAGGAATGGAATACTTTCTTCCTGTGTTTTAATTTCTACGGAAAATCTGACCCGCGTGGCCGCCGCCCCGGCCATAAGCGGGCGCACAGCGCGTATCATCTTTCTTGGAGGCAAAGGAAGCCGGCCGGCGTGTGGGCCCCGCGGGACCGGCAGGGTGGGCGCTCTCGCACCACAGCGCGCGGGGCCGGGGCCGGGAGCGGGGCCGGGCGGCGCGGGCGGCGGGCGGAGCAGGAGGCCCGGCCCCCCGCGAGCCAGCGCGCCGCGAACGCTGCCTGTCCGCTTGCAGAGGCCGCCGGGGCCGTGGATGGGGAGGGCGCGCCGCCCGGCGGTCCTGGCGCACAGGCGGCCGCGATGAGGGTCAACGAGAAGTACTCGACGCTCCCGGCCGCGGAGCGCAGCGTCCACATCATCAACATCTGCGCCATCGAGGACATCGGCTACCTGCCGTCCGAGGGCGCGGTGAGTGCGGGCGGCCGCGATCCGGCGGGAGGACCGCGCACCTGGGCCGCGATCCGGACGGGCTCGACGGGTGGGGGCGGGGCGCGCCAGGGCCGCGGGGCTCGGGGCCGCGCCCGCGCCCGCGCCCGCCCGGCCCCGCGTCCCAGCCCGCAGCCGCTTCGCCCGAGCGGGCCGCTGGGGCCCCCGGTGGGATAGCCGCCTCGCCCCGGGAGGGCGGCAGCCTCCAGGCCCCACCCCGCCGCCACCCTCCGGGGACCGACCTGTACGGGGCGCGGAGTCCCCCGGGCGGCGCGGGGTCCGGCACGGGAGTTCCGCACACCCCGGGCAGCAGGCGGGCGCCGGTCGCTCGAGACTGACTTTCCGCGCTGGTCCCGGTCCCCAGCCCGGCGCTCGCGCCTGGCCCGAGTGGTAGCCGGGCCGCGTGGGCCAGCGCCTGGCCGACCACGTGGTTGGGTCCCCTGTCTGGGGTCCCCGGTACCCCTACCACTCTCTCTGGGGCGGGACCCAGCGGTCGCAAGGATCCCCGGAGGTCAGAATTTGCCCATGTGGGTTTTGGCTTAACGCTGGAACAAAGTTTGCCTGAAGGGGGAAGGGCTGAGACCAGCGCCCTCAGCCGGGGAGCCCCGCTGCCGCTCGTTCCGGGGCCAGAGAACAGACTCCCCTTTCTCCCTGGTGCCCACACAGCCACTGCCAAAGCCCCTCCCCAGGAGATGCGGAGGCCCCAGCCCCGTGTTTCCCTCTGACCAAGCCCAGGATTGCCCTAGACTGCCTCTCTGGCCTCAGCCGGAGTCTGGCCGGGCATCCAGGGAGGTGCCTGTGGGGTGCGGTCCCGGAAAGGCAGAGACCCTCTGGCCTCGCACCCCCTGGGGTCATGACTGGGCTCCTGTGGGCTATGGGGGTGTCCTCTACAGCTGGGCTTGGGCAGAAATGCTGGCAACGTTAGGGACCAGCGTTGGTGGTGACCTTGAACGTTTAGGATCATCATCTCAGCGCACACTGTGTGCCTGCTGCGTACCAGGCCCTGTGGGATCCCGGACACCACCAGAGTGAAAGGGCCGGGGAGCCCCGCCCAGCTGGGGCTTAAGGAGCAGTGGTGGAAGTTACCCAAGACAGCGACAAGGGATGCTTCCAGAGCGATGGGCCCGCTGCTGTGTGTTAACTCATTTCACTCTCTCAGTAACCATATGGAGTAGGTGCTGTTACCACAGATGAAGAAACTGAGGCCAGGTGGGGGCAGATGACTGTCCCATGTCACCCACCAGCTGGGAGGAGAGCTAGGAAGGGCGAAGACACAGAGGCAGGTGACCACGGGCAGCCTGTCGGAGGGATGAGCATTCTGGAGGAGAAGGGGCCAGTTATACCCATAATGGGGTGGGGTGGGGCCTTTCACACTAGGAAATCACATATTTGAAGACCCAGAGGTGGGAATGAGGGGGACACCGGTTAGGAGGCATGAGGTAGAGGTGGCAGCTAAGGAAATGGAGAGAAACAGACACTCCAAGATACACCAGATTCAACTTGAGAATGAACGGGCTGTGAAATTAAAAATGGAGCCCTTGGGCTTCCCTGCTGGCACAGTGGTTGAGAGTCCGCCTGCCGATGCAGGGGACACGGGTTCGTGCCCCGGTCCAGGAAGATCCCACATGCCGCAGAGCGGCTGGGCCTGTGAGCCGTGGCCGCTGAGCCTGCGCGTCCGGAGCCTGTGCTCCGCAACGGGAGAGGCCACAGCAGTGAGAGGCCCACGTACCGCAAAAAAAAAAAATGGAGCCCTTAATAAATGGCCCCTGGGCTCTGGAATTTTAGTTCAGGGACCCGTTGTCTCTCGCAATCCAGAAATTCTCAGTCCCCCAAACTCTGGTGAGGGCCCCAAAGTCTGCAGAGAGTCAGCTCGGCTCTTCTTTCAAGCTTCTCACAGCCCAGAAGCAAGCAGAAAAGCCCAGAGGAGACTAGTGACTTATTTTGCACAGAAGCCTTACGGTGGGGAGGCTTCAGGTATGACGGGCTTGGAGGGCTGTGAACCAGGAGCACGTGGCCGCAGGAAGGAGGGCTGAGCAGCATCCCACCAGGGAAATGGCCACAGACAGGCTGGAAGCAGTGGCTCTAGGAGCTGGGGGCCTGTCTGTGCAGGGCAGGCAGTGTGCCGGGGAGAGCCTCCGAGGGCATCCCCAGCACAGCTCAAGCCAATAAGTGTTGCTCAGTCATTACTTTGAGTCACCCAGCAAAGGTGGCTCTGTGCAGGCACAGATCTATGTAGCTGAATCACTTTGCTGTACAGCAGAAATTAACACAACATTGTAAATCAACTATACGTCAATAAAAAATAAATAAATATAAAGAAAGAATGCACTGGGTCGCAGTCCAGCGACCAAGGTGTGGATACAGGGCTCCGTTCTCCTTTTCTGCCCTTTTCTAAGAGTCTGGGGAGGAAGTTTGCAGAGACAGGTAGACTGCCCTCGCGCTGTTTGTGGTATTTGTGTCAGGGCACACCTGCTGTGAAGGGGACTTTTGGCCCCTGACCTCTTCCCACGTAACCTCAGACAGCCATCTTTCTGCCTTCCTTGGGACAGCTCAGGGGTTCATCTTCAAAATACGTTCAGTTCTCCCATCACACTTGGTCCTCACAAGAATCCTGTGACCTAAGTCGAGGAGATGTTTTTGTCCCCATCTCGCAGATGGAAAAACTGAGGCTCGGAGCTGGGGGATGTGGTGTTTAAGCTCTGGTCTGGCTGGGTCTCAGCTTTGGTGTCCTTGATCTGGTGGCCCCTACCAGTAGCAGCGTGCAAACCCCACACCTCTGTCATTCATTCCCCCATGCATGCGTTCATTCCAGAGCCGTGCGTTCAGTGCCGAGCATTAAAAAGATGAATGAGAAATCCCTCGCCCTTAGCAAAAGTGCAGCAAGAGGTCACCGTCCCTTCCCTAAGGATACAGAAAGGACATTCTGAAGCTTTCCCAAGCCTTTGAATTGGGAAGTTAGGCATTCAGTCTAACCCATATCGCTCCCACTCCAAGTTAGATCTTTGCCTTCTTGTCCTGTCCTGCACAAGAAAAGCAGCCACTCTGGCTCCATGGAAGGGCCCCCAAAAGTCACATGGCCACCCTGACAGTCTCTGTGGTCCTCGCTGTGCATCTACCTCCCCAGCTCCCTCTAAGCCCAGCCCAGAATTGCTCTCCAAACCCTGCAGGCCTACCAGCCTGTGTTGAATGTACTAGGAAGAGAGCCCATACTTTCTGTTTGAAGATTGCACGCCCCTTACACTTATTCAGGTAGGATCATCCCCAATTTTTAAAACCAAGATGCAAACAGACAAAGCAACTTGCCCAGGATCACACAACAAATTAGTGACAGGGCCAGGCCTTGGGGGAGGATCTGGGACTCTCACAGCAGTGCTTGGTTCTGCCTCTTGCTGGACCTGGCAGTGCAACCAGCTCCCTTTTCCACTGCCACCATCTTTAACTTGTGGTCCGCTTCGACCATGAGATTTTAGAGCAAATTTCTGTTGAGGGTTCACCATATCCCAGGCCCTGCTGTAAACCCTTTACATATATTAACGTGTTTAATCCTTCCAACAACCCTTTGAGGGAAGTCATATTAGTTGAGGGAGGTCTGTTTATTCCCTCTGGCCCTCATTTTACAAAGAAGAGATCAGAGGGACAAAGATATTAAGCTACGTGCCTAAGGGTAGCACAGCTAGAAGTGGCAGAGCTGGTCTTTGGATGAAAGCAAAAGACACCCAATCTTGTCTGGCCTCCATGCTACCACTCCCCCCAATGGCAGGAGATGTTTAGGGGATGTTTATGTGCTCCGCAGACTGTCAGACTCTGAGGGTCCTCGATCAGGCCCCAGTGGGTGGAGGGGCATTCAGTTTTGAACCTGGTAACATTTTCTTGTCTTGTGTTGGTGGGGAATTCTCTCCTTACATTCATTTCCCTGCTGTCTGACTTGAGGGGGGTCACTCTGAATTTCCTTCCCATTCACTAAGGACTCATTGGTCCACTTTGCTCAGTACCAGCCATTATTCCAGCCAACCAGGAGCATTTCTGGGACCCGCACCAGGTGCTGAGCCCGCTATGTGTGCAGCAGGTTCTGAAGGGGAGTGCGTTAAGGGCAGTTCCTGGCCCAGCCCCCTGGTGTCCTGCCAGCCTGCTGAGGGGCCCCCATGATTTAAGAGCTTATGTATGGACGGCTCCAAGGCAGTCCCAGGACATGAGATCTGGAGAGGTCAGGGACCTCAGATCCCAGAGGACAGGGGATTTGTCAGTGCTGGGGAAGCTGGGGAGAGCTACGAAGGACAGAGGAAGAAAGGAAGGCGTGCAGGTGGGGAGCACAGCACGTGCAAAGGCAGGGAGGAGGGGATGAGATGTCCTGGCTCCGGTGTATGCCCGGGTACGGGATGGGAGAGGAAGCTGCCTAGAGGTGTTGCAGGCAGGAGACAAGGATGACCGCTCCAGCCCTCGAGAGTGACACACGGCCCCTGGCTCAGCCCAGAAGATCCGCGTTCCCCGTTTGGAAAATAGGGATGAACCCCTTGTAGAGACGCTGAGAGTCTGGAGTGCCCAGGATGCTGGCGGCAGGCGGGGTGCCCTGCCCGCCCAGAGCCCGCGTGTCCACCTGGCTCTGCCCACCTCCCATGCTCTTGCCCTGCCCGTCAGCAGCAGCGTTACTCCCCAGCGTCAGCCAGCGTCTTCCACGTTCCCCCCAGGCAGCCTTCGGGTCTGGCTTTGCTGCCCACTCTCCTGCGAGGAGAGGAGCTACCTTTAGCGGCCAGCTCCCCGTGACGCTGCATTTCTCTGCCCTTCCTGATATAACCCAGGAGAATGAGCAACTGTCTTCACACCGGGGTGGACCCGGGATGCCTGTCTCAGGAGTTAGAGGGAGAGTCCACCCAGCCTAGACGTTCTTTTACTCAGTCCTCCTGGCTGCCAGTGGGGGCGGCTTCTATTATCCACCCACTTTACAGAGGTGGAAACCGAGGCCCAGAGAGGGCAGAGTATCCCCTCAGGACTCGTAGCTGGAGAGGGACCAAGCCTGGACTTACCTGAGGCCTCTCGCTGCCCAGAGCGCCCCTCCACCCTCACCTGACCTGTGGTTCCAGGAGCAGTGAGGGTGGAGCTGCAGCTCGGCTGAGCAGCTACACTTAGTCTAACGGTGTCCAGTGGAGCAGGCCGCTGGGGATCCGCCGGGGAGCAAGGGCCCAATCGCTTCGCCCGCGTGAGCCCCGACTTCCTCCGGGTCAAGCAGCCCTAATTATAGGGGCCCTCAGGCGGGGACTCCGTGAAAGGCTGTGCCCCATGCTGAGAAATAGTGTCACCCCAAGTCCCTGCTACTGTTGAGGAGGGGCGCCCTGGGTGTGCAGACAGGATTCCAGGCTGGGCTCAGCCTGCCTGCGCTGTCACCTCGGGTGCCCCTCACCCCACCGGGCCTCAGTTTCCCCTGACAAATTGATACAAACAACTCTTTCCCGCCTCTCCTGCAACATGACCCACCAAAGGCGCTGGGGTGGTCCATGGTCTCTGTTCTGGGCTGGGCCTCCCTCCTCCCGCCCAGGCCCCCAGCTCTCCCAGTACCAGCTGCCCGCCTGGGTGTGGGCCTGGCTCCTTAGCCCTGGTGCAGCTCCGAAGACTCTGAATGGTGCAGAGTTGCTCGTTTGACCTCTTCCCAGCGTGAGTTTATTTATTTCCTCTTATTTCCGAAGAGGCCAGCTTGTAGCAGAACTTAATACCCTCAATAACCAGCCGAATCCCACGGGGACGCTAGAGAAGTGAGTGTGGCTTTAGCAGAAGGACCTGGACTTTGAATCCCCCACCCCAGGCGGGCTCCCGTCTCCTTGGCCCCCTGGAGTCCTTCAGGCAGATAAGGAAACCGAGGCAGGACTGTATGTGCAGCGACCCACCCTGAATCCCGCCACTACCAGCCACCGCCCTCCCTCCCCCACCTCGCTCTGGCCCCTGAGACCACCCCCCAGGCAAGCTGCCGAATACTCGACTCGCGGTCTGGGAGTTGACTTGGGAGAGTCGAGACTAACACAGTGGTTACCTGGCCCCGACCACACAGCTAATCAGTGGCAGAGCCGGGCCAGGCGAGGGCCGGTACGGTCCTGCGGCCACCTTGACACGACATTGCCACGCCTGCTGGCCATCAGAGGTCGCGCTGTGCAGAACCTGAGCTCAGCTCTGCTCTGCCTGGGACCCTGTGGGCCTGTGCGAAGAGCACACCCCTGGGGGTCGGCCGTGCAGATTTCACAGCCCATTCCAGCCGCCTGGTCCCTCCCAGGCAACGTGAGCTCGCTGGGGAGAGGCGGGAGGCCTTCGCGTGTGAGCACCCAGCCTGGCATCTTCAAGTGCCGTGAGCAGCGACGTCTCTTGATTGCCAGCTCCTTGAAGGAGGGCCTTCTGCAGTGTTATCAGCCGTCTGGGCCCCTAGTGATCAGAGGGCATGAGTGGAAAGAGTTGGGGAGGGCAGGTGGGTGGCCAGTTGTCTTGGAAGCGCGCTCCCCTCCGAGGGCCCGTCCCTGAGCCCTTGACGGCGAGTGGCTTTCTTCTTCTGCCCCCGCAGCTGCTGAATTCCTTGTCCGTGGACCCCGACGCCGAGTGCAAGTATGGCCTGTACTTCCGGGACGGCAAGCGCAAGGTGGATTACGTCCTGGTGTACCATCACAAGAGGGCCTCGGGCAGCAGGACCCTGGCCAGGCGGGTCCAGCACAGCGACGCCGGCCTGGCCGCCCGCAGTGCCCGGCAGGACCAGCCCCTGCCCGGGAAGGCGGGCCCCGTGGGTGCGGGCGAGCCTGAGGCCCCGCTGGACTACCACGAGGATGACAAGCGCTTCCGCCGGGAGGAGTACGAGGGCAACCTGATGGAGGCCGGCCTGGAGCTGGAGCGGGACGAGGACGTAACTATCCCCTTCTCCCGGGCGGGCGGCCGGGTGGGCGGGCAGGTCCTTCTACCGTCACCTGTTCTTAGAAAAGGGCCGAGGCCAGCGCCCTTCTGGTCGAGTGTGGGGAGCCCGAACCAACGCCCGCCCCACATCTGCCCCCGGGAGGGGCTGGCCTTCTCGGCAATGACCTCCGGGGTCAAGGCATTTCCTGCTCTGGTCAGTTCCTCCCCTGGGAAGATGGGCGGATGACCGTTTCACGGGCGGAGGACGAAGGTCTCCTAGGAATCTCCCTGGCGCTTGACCTTGGCTTCTCGGGCCTCAGTTTCTCAATCTGTCAAAGGGGGAGGTTGGCCTGGCTGATGCCCGGGGGCCCCGGCGCATTGAAATCTGTGACCATAACACTGGTTTCCAGAGCTTCTCTCCTTGGCAAAGCCTGAGAGTCTTTCTAAGGGAAGTTTTCTGGGGAGAGCAAAAGGTCGGCCGCCTGGCCGGCTGGCTGCCCTGGTGGCAGAAGGCATGGCAGTGCAGGGAGAGTTGACCTTGGCGGCCTGGGGACAGCAGAGCGGCCCCCTCAACTTCTCAGTGGGTTTGCTGATGCTCCCCTGACAGCTCCTTAACCTCTCTGTGCACGGTGGGGCGGGGAGCATCTCTTCCATGAACAGTGGGGGGCAGACCTCTAGCCCGCAGGAACTGTGGCTGTGCAGATTAACCAAGAGTCAGCCAAAGTCTCTACAACACATTAGGAGCAGTAAAAGTAGTCAGCAGGTGGACTTAGGGACCCACGGGTCCATCGTGAATGTTTAAAATAGAAGTTGGCATTAGTTTTGCTATTTTCATCAATGAGAACCACCGCGTCCTTAGTGAATGCTTTGGGTCTGGTGATAAGGAGCCTTTTGGGGTACCTAGAACAGAAAGCTACAATAGCGGAGCCGGTGTGAATGCTGTTTCGCAAGATGACGTTACTTCCCCCGAAAGCAGCCAGGTATGCTCAGCGGGCCTCATTCTACCTCGGCCTGGCCAGTGGTAGAGGCATCTTGCTCTCAACGGGGACCACCCCTCTGGGTGACGCTTTGGCTGCCGGCAGGTGTGGGTGAGCTCTGGCTGTAGGGTTGGTTCCCACTGGAGTTGCGAGGGCGCGAGGGGCCTTAAGACGCTTTGATGATCAGGAAGCAAAGGTTGGATCCTGACCGGGTGGCGGAGAGCCTGTCTCCCTGACTTTGAGGGCCGCAGCTGCAGACAGGCCTGTGCTGGTCCTCTGGAGGTTTCTGTCTCACTTTGTCTTAGACCTGAGCTGAGGCCACTCGGGAGAGAGAACAGTCATTCACTCGGACTTTTCCCTGTCCCGCCCGGCCAGCCCCGCGGCCTTTTGTCAAAACAATACTGCTTCTAAACAGGCTTGAATTCAGAGTGTCCTTTATAATTGGAGGAACGAACGGCCTCCATTGGAGGCAGGGGAGGCTGGAGGGAGGCTGGTGGCAGAGGCCTCTCCTGGGAGCTGTGATCCTGGGCGCAGTGTTACACGACCGAGAGATTTACTGTCTCTCACTTTCCTGACTACAGCGCTGAAATCTCATGTTTGAAAGGACATCCCCGCCCCCTGGGTCTGGTAATTCACTCTCCCTCTCCGGGCCAGATCCCAGACCCTCTACCTGTCCTTTGCAAGACTTATTAAGCCTCCCCATCTGTCAAACAGAGATAACAATCGTGTTTATATCACTGGATTGTCATAAAGTACTTAACTCAGTCTGGCAGTCAGGGAATTCTCATTGGCTGACGTGAATATTCAATCATATATTTTTGCTCATATGGAAATGGAATGGCCGTGCTCACGAAGGAGAGAAGAAAGAGCATTTCCAAGTCCAATTAAATACTACACCACACATATCTTTTTAAAAACTCCATGACTTTGAAATAAATAGCAAACGTAAAGACATTGATTACGGCCCCCAAAAAAGATTGAATTGTCCCAACAAGTGATGAGAATTCTGCCCCCAATTCCAACACGTATGGGTTGTTTTCTCCACGCCACCCAGCACTTCTCCGACACCAGCTGGATGTCCTACAACTTAACTCAGTTTGGACACTACCCATCTGGAGGTAGCATCAGACCCCAAAGTTAAGGGCTCTACAAGGCCACCCACCCCCCACCAGCCGTCATTTGCAAGCCCAAGTTGTCACCTGTGCTCTGACCCACTGGCTACAGTTCAGAGGTTCTAAGGACTTCGGGTTCTATTAATTTGCTAGAGCAACACACAGAACTCAGAGAAGCACGTTACTTACTAGATCACTGGTTTATTATAAAAGGAAATAACTCAGGAACAGCCAGATGGAAGAGATGCACAGGGCAAGGTGTGAGGGAAGGGCGTGGAGCTCCCATGATTTCTGAGCACCATTCTCCCCAAATCTGCACGTGTTCACCAACCAGAAGCTCTCCAGACCCTGTCCTTTCGAGTCTTTACAGAGGATTCATTACACAGGCAAGACTGATTAGATCGCTGGCCGTTGACGATTGATTCAACCTGCAGCCCTTCTCACCTGCCCAGACATCCGCGGAGGGACCAGAAGTTCCAACCCTCTAACTACACGGTTGGTTCCCCTGGCAACCAGCCCCCATCCTTTGGAAAGGAGGTTCTTTCCAAAAAGTCACCTCATTCACCTAACAAGAGACACCATTATTGCTCTCCCCACTTAGGAATTTCCTAGAGTTTTAGGAGCTCTGCGCCAGGACCGGGGGACAAAGGCTGAAAATCTATTATTACAAATCACAAGATCACAGTGACCCACAATTTCATTGATAATTTAGCTCTAGAGCTTAAGAAGCTTTTCCAGCAGTTGACTGGGTCTTTTTTATTTTTTAACATCTTTATTGGAGCATAATTGCTTTACAATGGTGTGTTAGTTTCTGCTGTATAACAAAGTGTATCAGCTATACATATACATATATCCCCATATGTCCTCCCTCTTGCGTCTCCCTCCCACCCTCCCTATCCCACCCCTCTAGGTGGTCACAAAGCACCAAGCTGATCTCCCTGTGCTATGCAGCTGCTTCCCACTAGCTATCCATTTTACATTTGGTAGTGTATATATGTCCATGCCACTCTCTCACTTTGTCCCAGCTTACCCTTCCCCCTCCCTGCGTCCTCACGTCCATTCTCTACGTCTGTGTCTTTATTCCTGTCCTGCCCTTAGGTTCATTGGAACCTTTTTTTTTTTTTTTTTAGATTCCATATATATGTGTCAGCATATGGTGTTTGTTTTTCTCTTTCTGACTTACTTCACTCTGTATGACAGACTCTAGGTCCATCCACCTCACTACAAATAACTCAATTTTGTTTCTTTTTATGGCTGAGTAACATTCCATTGTATATATGTGCCATATCTTTCTTATCCATTCAACTGTCAATGGACACTTGGGTCACTTCCACGTCCTGGCTATTGTAAATAGAGCTGCAATGAACACTGTGGTACATGACTCTTTTTGAATTATGGTTTTCTCAGGGTAGATGCCCAGTAGCGGGATTGCTGGGTCATATGGTAGTTCTATTTGTAGTTTTTTAAGGAACATCCATACTGTTCTCCATAGTGGCTGTATCAATTTACATTCCCACAAACAGTGCAAGAGGGTTCCCTTTTCTCCACACCCTCTCCAGCATTTATTGTTTGTAAATTTTTTGATGATGGCCGTTCTGACCGGTGTGAGGTAGTTTTGATTTGCATTTCTCTAATGATTAGTGATGTTGAGCATCGTTTCATGTGTTTGTTGGCAATCTGTATGTCTTCTTTGGAGAAATGTCTATTTAGGTCTCTGCCCATTTTTGGATTGGATTGTTTGTTTTTTTGATATGGAGCTGCATGAGCTGCTTGTATATTTTGGAGGTTAATCCTTTGTCAGTTGCTTCATTTGCAAATATTTTCTCCCATTCTGAGGGCTGTCTTTTTGTCTTTTTTATGGTTTCCTTTACTGTGCAAAAGCTTTTAAGTTTCATTAGGTCCCATTTGTTTATTTTTGGTTTTATTTCCATTTCTCTAGGAAGTGGGTCAAAAAGGATCTTGCTGTGATTTATGTCATAGTGTTCTGACTGTTTTCCTCTAAGAGTTTCATAGTGTCTGGCCTTACATTTAGGTCTTTAGTCCATTTTGAATTTATTTTTGTGTACGGTGTTAGGAAGTGTTCTAATTTCATTCTTTTACACGTAGCTGTGCAGTTTTCCCAGCACCACTTATTGAAGAGGCCGTCTTTTCTCCATTGTATACTCTTGCCTCCTTTATCAAAGGTAAGGTGACCATATGTGTGTGGGTTTATCTCTGGGCTTTCTGTCCTATTCCATTGATCTATATTTCTGTTTTTGTGCCAGTACCATACTGTCCTGATTACTGTAGCTTTGTAGTATAGTCTGAAGTCCGGGAGCCTGATTCCTCCAGCTACGTTTTTCTTTCTCAAGATTGCTTTGGCTATTCAGGGTCTTTTGTGTTTCCATACAAATTGTGAAATTTTTTTGTTCTAGTTCTGTGAAAAATGCCATTGGTAGTTTGATCGGGATTGCATTGAATCTGTAGATTGCTTTGGGTAGTATAGTCATTTTCACAATGTTGATTCTTCCAATCCAAGAACATAGTATATCTCTCCATCTGTTTGTATCATCTTTAATTTCTTTCATCAGTTTCTTATAGTTTTCTGCATACAGGTCTTTTGTCTCCTTAGGTAGGTTTATTCCTAGGTATTTTGTTCTTTTTGTTGCAATGGTAAATGGGAGTGTTTCCTTAATTTCTCTTTCAGATTTTTCATCATTAGTGTATAGGAATGCAAGAGATTTCTGTGCATTAATTTTGTATCCTGCTGCTCTACCAAATTCATTGATTAGCTCTAGTAGTTTTCTGGTGGCATCTTTAGGATTCTCTATGTATAGTATCATGTCATCTGCAAACAGTGACAGCTTTACTTCTTTTCTGATTTGGATTCCTTTTATTTCTTTTTCTTCTCTGATTGCTGTGGCTAAAACTTCCAAAACTATGTT